TTCTGAATATAACTTTACCGATACACTAAGTTCAACAGTCGCTCTATAACAAACGCTAGAACGTCTAACGTGCTCGACAATACACACTCTCTGATTGCAGTTTTATTACTCATCGTTCGGTCACATTGTGACCATCTTATATATACCAGACTACCCCCCAATCTAGTAGTCTCCCGATAATTCCCGAAAGTTCGAGAAGGACGTGGCGTGATACTACTCACTGACGCAACAATATTAAGTTCTTCTGAACAGAATGTCATCGTACTAAAACACGAAACCGACATTAACAGAAGAAATATGAAACAATCAACAAGTACCTAGTCAAAACTATATATTTTTTATCATTATTTCCCCCAACATATCCAACTTTATCCAAATACTTCCACATACTTAAATTCATCTTTTTTTCTATCCAGCTATAAATAAATAATTTGTCAATTCACGCGTATTGATATTGTTACGTCTCCGTTTGTTAAATGATTTTCCGTAACTTTGTTCCGACGAAACTTTAGCGACACAAGTCCTTACTTAATAAAACTGGTTTATTCTTTCTGAATATAACTTTACCAATACACTTATTTTCAACAGTCGGTCTTTTACAAATGTTTTAACAACGAAATTAACTTCAACAATACTTCCTGACTGCAGTTCAATTACTCACTACCTACACACATATTGTCACGACCATCTTATATATACCAGACCACCCCCCAATCTAGTAAATGCTAGAGCACTCCCGAAGGAACGGGATAGTTCTAGAAAGCAGGTGGCGTGACACTAGTCACGTGACCTCGCTGACGCAACAATATGCACATGCATAAAGAGAGAACACAAAATAATCCTTACAGTACACAGAAAATGAAATAAACAATTTAAATGTACATTACATAAAACTTATGACGTTAATGAACAAATAGTCAACGATGTATTAAATGGAACACACTGAAAATATTTCATACATTCATAATATAACATAATATAATGTTTAGGCTATCGCATCCTCCCAACTAAACTAAAACTATTTAAAAAAATTGATTAAGAAACAAAATCTTAAAGCCAGCCCTTATCATTCATATAGCTATTAAAGTTTCTCTTAAACTCACTTAAATTTACGGACTCCACAACATCTGAAAGCAACTCATTTCAAAGGCCAAATACATTGTTAGAAAAATAAAACTGCCTTAGTTAAAGATGACTCCTACATTGCCAAAACTTAGTCAGATCTCTTCTAACTCTTTTTTTTTTTTTTTTAAGAAAAAACAGTTTGAAGGATATCAACCTCTCCCCGTATGACAACCCTGCCATTCCAGGCACAATTCTAGTGTCCCCTAGTTCTACTATTCTCACTGTTAAGTATGAAAAAAGATGATGCATCAACACTATCAATTCCCTTTACAATCTTAAACATCTCAGTCAGATCTCTTCTAACTCTTTTTTTTAAAGAAAAACAGTTTGATAGATATCAACCTCTCCTCGTATGACAACCTTTCCATCCCAGGCACAATTCTAGTAACTCTCCTCTGAAGCCTTTTCAACAATTCAATGTCCTTCCTAAGGTAAGAAGCCCAAGACTGAACACGATACTCCAAATGTGGCCTAACCAATGACCTATACGATAAAATTATAACTTCTTTAGACTTGTATTCAATATTTCTGTAGACACAACTTAAAATCCTTTTGGCCTACCACTAGCAACAGCACACTGCTTGGATGGCTTAAGAGACTGATCAACCATTACACCAAGATACCTTTATTTCATGACACTGTTAATGTTATTCCCGTCCAAATGACACTTATAATTCAAATTATGATAACCCATATGCATTATCTTGCATTTATTATAATTAAAATCAATTTGCCATTTAATTGCACAACTCACTAAATGATCTAAATCCTTTTGTAAATCAGCAGCATCCTCTTCACAGCTAGCAACACCCAACACCTCAACATTATCTGCAGATTTAAATAATTTATTGACCAATTCTCCATTTATGTCATTGGTGTAAATATAAAAAAGAAAAGGTCCTAATACTGAGCCCTGAGGTACGTCACCTGTAACATTAATTCAGTTTGACTAAACTCCATTTATAAAACCCTCTACTTTCTTCTATCCAGCCACTCTTCTATCCAATTTCCTAACTTATCTTCCAAACCTATAGAGCTCATTTTTTACAAGCCTTTTATATGGCACCCTGTTAAATAAACTATGTTTACACTTATATATAAAAAAATATATATATATAGTCTTTGAATGTGAAACATTTTTGAGGTAGTTCAAGTGCAAGTGTGGATTTTCTTTTCTATTTTATTACAAGGAATAGTATTAAAGAAGTTATTTTCTTTTCTTAATTTGAATCCAATTTTAGATCACATGTATATATTTCATAGATGGCAGTTGTTAGTCATAACCATCATGGCTGAAGTTAGTAACAGTAACAAGAATATCGAGTTGGTGTCAGCTGATCACGTTATAGAAGAAGGTGATACATCCGTTGATGAAAAGAAAAATGATGTAGAACTAGAAGAGAAACCAAAGGAAATTCATAATCCTTCAGATGCACCGCTGGCGTTAACAGAAAAAGTTAAAAGTAAGATTAATTCAGTATGGAAACGAAAATGAAACTAGTACTAGTATTACTACTAAAGTTAGTAATACTACAAGTAGTAATACCGATCAAAAGTTCAAAATATTTATTACTCTATGCCGAACCAGATCGTATTATTAATATAGGCCAAATTTATGAATATTTTTCAGTGTAAATTATCAGGGTTATGTATATATCCACTCAGATAATACTAGTAATAGTCAGATGTAGTCAAACATGATGAATTTAATAATTTCTAATTCTTTGGGTAAACTTAAGTTTTAATAAAATAAGAAACTTGACATACGTTTAACATCGTTTACATTTTGTCTTTTTGTTTTTGTTGTTGATGCCAAGCAATCCTTAAAGCTCATAATTTTAAAATTGAGTTAGATTTTTATATAGATCATTACTTCATGTTCTATAAGAAATTCATAAAATCTTTCTTAGCAGTTTGCATTGTACCTGTAGAATAACTGTTTTAATTGTCTGCATTTTTATTTTTATCCCAAAACATAATACTATCACTACCAAGTAAATTATATTGTTTTTTAATTTTTTCAAAAATCTGTTTTAATGTGATTTTATTTGTTTTTTAATTGTTGAATTATACTACAAGATTTATTAATTTCCTTTTTTGTAGGTAGGATTCAGTTAGGCAATTGACAAAAATGATTAATCAAACACACCACCAATGTAATTTTACAATTTATTGCAAGTTATATATTTACAAAATAAATGTCAAAATCTAAATCAAACTAATAAAGAAATTCTCAGCAAGTTACCCAATTTACACAAATACCCTCCAGAAAATTCACATATCTGTAGCTGTTAATCTTGTAATTGTCTCTAGTCTCTCCAAGTGCTGTTCTGCATAGATCATCTACACCAGGACAAATATTTCCATGAGAAGGGACAGTAATATTTTAGTACTTTCTCACATGTCACAGACAGAACAATACCATTACATTACAATCATCATCAATTTCTTGATATATTACCAGACTACTATAAAAATAATGAAATTAAGAAGCAGTTCAAGTGTTCAATATAGTTGTATTCCCTTTCTCATATAATATGCCACTCACCATTGTGGTGCCATTTTTCCATACAAATATTATAAATAATTGGCTGTTCACAATAATAATCCCCATATTCAAGTTTACTTCTTAGCTGCCGGATGGCCATAACCCTCTGCATCATGCAAGTCTTGTCTTACACCAATAAATGTAGCACAATATATACTAATTTTCCTCACACACACACTCATTGACTCATTACCAAATTATAACCAATGATTACTTACAACAAATAAATATGACTCACCACACCTTGCATCTTGGAGACTGCTCACTTGTGAGTACCATGCAAAAATTTATAATAAATACTCAAACCTTTTACTCTATGTATACAAGAATAAACCCAACTTTGTTCTGTAAATACAAACATAATAATAACTGCATATAAACAAACACAGGAAATTTCCTTAGAAATCATATAAACAAATGTGATAATGAACATACAGTACAATGATTTTAATAACTTGTTCACCAAATAAAGTTACATTGCAAAATTTACAAAACATAATGTCACCTTGTGACACTGACTAGGATCAGGTAATCCCATCTTTTTTCCATCGCTTCTTGGGTTATCCAGACATGTGTCTTCTACTTTCACTTTGTCTAGTTAGGGTACCTTGTTGCTTGTCAATCACGCGAGTCTGTTCTTTCTGCACAGTGCTTTCCTCTTTTATATCTCTCCTTCCCTTTTCATCAACGCGTCTTTTACTTACTCAATTTCTTTGTTATATGTCCACACCTCACCTTCTTTTAGAAGTTGTATGTTATGACCCTACTGAGGAAAGTTGTACATACCTGTTTTATACTTTGGCTTTGTTTTTCTTCACCCATCCTATCCCACTTCATGTACTTTTCTTTATTTCTAGTATGTATAATGTACTTCATTAGGATGCCTTATTTTCTGACATTGGCCTCCGACCACTTTTCTCTCAGGAACCTTCATGTTGCACCCTTTTTTGTAATGAGGTTTTTGGAGATGTTTCTTATACTTTGGAACATTAAGCTAATGCTGCTTGTCTCTACCACTTTTTTCCAGCAATTCTCCTTTCCTATCTCCAGTTCTTATGCACCTCTATTGGGCCTTTATAATCCATTGTCCTCTTTGGATTGGAACCTCTGTTTAGTCCTTTCTTCTATATTATCTTTCTCTTAAGAAATGTTCTTTTCTTACTTTTTGGAAGACATTGCTTTGATATTCTTGTTTTAGATGCCTTCTGCACTCTTTCTCATGGGGACAGGTAAAAGTTATTTCTAGAACACTTCCCAAGACTTGGACTGCTCAGGAGGTTGATCAGATGTTTTCTTCACTCACCCTCCCTTTAACTTTTTCTCTGTATGATAGCTCAGACTCCAATCAACTACTTTGTCCTGTGGAAGCAGTACGAAGTTACTTTGCTCAAACAGCTACTTTTAGAAACAATCAAAACTGTCTTTTTCTGCAGTGGGATTTCTTTAATTCTCAAATTTATATCCTTCCACTTTGACTGGATGAGTTAAGCAACTCATTCAGCTTGCCCATTTCTCCACAGGAGGTGAAACATATTTTTAATATCGCTTCCCATCAAGTTTCTCATCTCTTGGCTTCTTTTGCCTCTGGCCATTGGCATCTCTTGATGAAATCTTAAAGCTAGGGACATGGATGACCCGAGACATTTTCGTGTTATGTTACTTACATCACATTGAGGTTTCATCAGCCTTTGGGTTTTGTTTCCTTCCAGTCAACAACTTATAATCTTTCCAGAGCTTTTAAAGAGGTATTGTTCATTAAAAAAACAAGTACAGACAAAATGCAGGAACCCACTGGGTGACTGATGTTGCTTCACAGGGATTACTTCTCTATTCAATAACCTGCATTGAGTGAGAAATAACAGAAATTGTTCAGCCAATCTGTCTCTGCTCAATGTTAGAGCTGGTTGGTAAAATCAACTATCTAAGAGCATCAATCTGGTTTACAGAGCTTGACTTATAACCTTTATAATCCATAGTGTCTTTGTGTTTCTTCAATCTGGATTACAAAACTTAACCTGTATTTCTTATAACCTGTAGTGTATCCTTGCTTCAGTCTGGTTTATGAAGATTGACTTACACTTTTCTAAGCTGTATATCTTCCGTCAGATTTCTGTTTTTGCTGGTGAGGAGAAACGACCTTGACTAATGTATTTAGATAATATATTTACAGTTTTATTCAGTTATTTGTATTATCATCTTATCCAAGGTTAAAGTTAGAAAATTATTTTCTTCAGTTGATATTCTTTTGAAAGCCACGGCTGATGCTCCAATCATGAAAAGAAAGAAATGGGCAGTAGATCCTTGTAAAAAGATTGGATGGATTATTGAATTCATTCGGAGATATTTAAAACTGGATCCTTCAGAATCACTAGTAAGTTTACTTCACCATTCAGTTTTTTTGTGAATTTTAACTTTATTTATGCACTAAAGCTTAGAAAAAAAGGCAAGAACATTTTTTTCAACTATTATAGATAATTTGTACAATTATAACATCGATTATGAACTTTTTTGTAGTAAAATACTTTAATGTTTGAAAGTATCTTGTTATATATCTCCTGTTTATATTGATATGATACACAATTATTTAGTTCACCAATTTTATTGTTTGTAGGAACATTTATAATATTAAATGACATGCACTTCTTTATTAAATAAAGTTTATTTTCTGTCTAGTTTTTATATGTAAATCAGGCGTTTGCCCCTTCACCAGACCAGGAAGTAAGAAATTTGTATGAGGTAAGAAATACAAGAATACTGTTGTAAAAATTAACGTAAGCTTCTTTTTCTGTACAATTAAGAAATAGACATTTTATATTTATCTTTACACATTGTCATTTGTTGTAAATTAATTAGTAAAGTAACTGATGTTTTATCTTCTCTGTCTGCTGGCTATAGTGTAGATGTTGTCATTTAATGAGTAAACTTACTGATGTTTTGTCTTCTCTGTCTGCTGGATGTAGTTGTTTAGATCTTGTAAGTTAATCAATAAAGTTACTATCTGTGTTATGATCTTATACCAAGTTGATTTAGTTAAAAAGCTAAATGAAACCCTCAAGTGTTGTTCCCAGGTTCTGTAAAATTTCTATCATGTAGTAGTTTTGTTAAGCATTAGTGAATTAATGGAATGACACATCACATAAGTATTTGTATTACAGTAGTGTTGATGATATAACTTTCTTTTCTTTCTCCAGTGCTTTGGTGCTGATGGAAAACTTGTCCTTCATTATGCTAAGACACAAGCTTGGGGTTAATGATGTTTACCCTAAGTCCTACACAGGAATGTATATGAATATAATTATTTACTTTTGTATCTTTAAGTCATGTAAATATTGAAATTAATAAATTCCGTTGCTTATGTATAAGAAAGTTTTATTAATTGCAATTACTGTCATCTGCAAAAAATAAAAAATAATTGTGACTTTGTTGCTGTAAAATTGTTCTTGACAATTTTTAAGCACAAAATAATAGTCTTGAACTTTGACTTTTTAATATTTAAAAGAATAAGGTTATGAGAGTATTCATTTAAAATTGTCACAACTTTTGTTATATAGAACTGTTAACAGAAACATTCCTACATGACCTTCAACATATATGGTGGCATGATACTTTTAACTGATCTAGCAATGGAACAGGTCTAGTCTCAGTCTTTTTGTGATGTTTTATCAGTACACAGTTTTAAAGTAAAGCTTGACTCTTGGCTGTAAGGGTTTATTTGTTCAGTTCTGTATAAACTTTAATGATATTTTTAGTGTGATTACTTAAGTTTTGTTGGATTTAAAACAGATTCACATCAGTTTGTGAACATCATCTTTTTTTTTCTTGCCTTTGAGGGAAGCAGAATTATATTGTCTGTTTATCATTTCTGCTTCTGCAGAACTCCATTATTAATACACCTGGTTTGTTTGTCATGGAACATTATCAGCTGTTCCATAAATGCCTCTTTCTGCATATCGTTTCAAGTATGCACATTTTTTGGATTGACACTTGACTTGGACATTCTAACCACTTACAGTTCAGTGTTTTAATGTCCCTTTGAAAGCTGTGTTTGAATGATCAAACACAATTACAGTAGTATTTATTTTTAGATGGATACATTTTCTACGTCTTTCCAATGTTCAGTTTTTACCTTAAGATCAAAGCTACTGCAATTGAAAAATAACTCACTAGGAACATCTGTAGCTCAAAATGACAAATTAGTATTCCTACTGTTTAGCCAGAACTAAGTTCCATATTTTAATTCAGGTTTGTTTTTGTTATAGGTACATTTTCATAAATCAAAACATTCAAAATACAAGTAAAATTTATTTATTTTTTGTCAACAATTAAAGAATTTTTACCACAATTCTGCACAAAGTTTCTTGTTAGCTCCAATACACATCATGTGTAAAAAAATAATAATTTACGAAGACTGCCTAATTTTTATATATAAATTAAATAAATCAAAACACGAACATACAATATTGTGTTATTTAATCATCATTCTATCCAGAATCTGTGAACAACTCCTTGTTCTTGTCAAATATTAAGTAAACCATGATTTTTTAATATGGCAATGTATAAGTAATTAAAGCTATTAAGGCAGTTGCCATCCATTCAACAAAGTTTCATCATGAATACTCTGCATAAACAATCTATCAAAGAATAGCTATTAAGCTAACATGCCTTTTTGTCAGACTTGCTTACACATGCTCTCTCAGGAAATTATGACCATCAAGAAGCATTTCTTATAATGTTAAATTTATGATACAATATTTAATTCATGTTAAATCTGTAAATTTTTGTATTTAAACTGCACTTCATATAAAGAAATTTCATTAGCAATGGGTGAGTATTATCAAAACAAAACTAACAAGCTTTGAGTAAGTCTTGTACTAATTACACTAATGAATAAATATGCTCTACTCAGTACTGGTATGAGGCCTAATTATAACAACACCTGAAAGTTTTTTTTTTTTACATTCTTACTTGGTATGTGTAAAGTTTTGCAAAAATACTGCACACATGGTCAATTTTTGATTAAATAACTATTCGTGATGTATTCGGCAATGTTGCAGTTTTATGTCTCTAATGAAATCCAACAGGGTTAGTGAGAACAAGCTCAGTGATGAACAGAGTTTTCATGTTTCATTAAGGACTAACTTGATCAATGTGACAGGGTTAGTGAGAACAAAGCTCAGTGATGAACAGAGTTTTCATGTTTCATTAAGGACTAACTTGATCAATGTGACAGGGTTAATGTACACAGTCAATTTCTTAACTAGATGGACATCAGAGTAAGGAAACCAGTAGTTTAAGAATCATTGTAATGGTAAAAGATTTCTTAAAAATGATATTTTGATTTGTTCATACAAAACATTAAAATACATTAAAAATATCTTTCAGCTCACACTATTTTTTTATTGTTCTGACATGTCTGTTAATTCTGCTAATGAACAAGTTCTTACCTTCCTAGAATCTGGATCACTTTTGAAGTTGATATGACATGAAGTACTTCTATTGTTTATAGGGTTATGAGTGGAAAATGCTGAAACCCCACTGTGGTTCAGGAGCAAATACAATAGAATATATTGGTTCTTTCATTATTATTCAATCCAATTTGTTTTCCACTATTAAAAAAAATTACTCTTTAATTACCAATGTAGTGGTCCCCAATGGGCCACACTTCAGAAGATGTCTATACAGACTTGGCCTGAGCTTTTTGGAAATGACAGGTTTGTTTACTCTTGAGTATTATAATGATTAACAGTGCAATATATAATCATAGTGTAGACCACCAGTCATGCTTTCATGGGCTACCTATTGGGGACCATTGATATAATACAATTTAATAAGAAAATAATTGATGAATGACCTACCCCCTCAACTTTGAAGAATCTCAAGGTCAGAATTCTGAAGAAAGAGGGAGAAGTCACATCCCCATTAATAATATATGTTAATAATTTGCTGTGACCTTAAATTTACATAATAACCCTTGTCATAGATTTCATTTGGAAGGAAAGTAGGGACTCTTGTTTCCAGTTGGAGATGCTGATCCTAATCTTTCTTCCACAACATCAGCAGAATTCATATTCTCTACCATAGGGTGCATGTTCTTCCATAGTTCGTATATCTGTTGTAGAAAAACATTACATATAAAGAAACAAAGCACAAAAATGTCTGATCTCCCTCATATTCAACACATATCGATAGTCTAGTGTGTTGATACATCTCATTATTAGTCTGGTATATTCTTTCATTGGTAGTGACTATAAACCTGAAGAATTATGTAAAACATTGTGTTAAAACTGTCAGGACTATGAACAAAATATTAAATAGTTTTGTTTTGAGTTTACTTACTGATTACAAGCTAAAACAGGTACGATGTTTCAATCACTGGTGCGATCATTCTCAAGTATGCAAGTTAACCTGTGTACTTGAGAATAATCACACTAGTGATTGAAACATCGTACCTGTTCTAAAAATATTCTGTAAAAACTGTAACTCCTAATAAAATATTAAATAACTTAGTAATGTTTAATAGAAGTGAAAATGATTTGTTTTTATAATTTACCTTATAGTGTTTGATTGTCTCCAGTTCTATTAAGGAGTGTAACATCTCACCAACTATATTCATGTAACAATGAACAAGTTGTGTTTCCATAGAGATGCAGTGGAGTGCAAAATGTTTCCTCCTCTCCTGTTGTTCTCCCTCCTAAAAATGAAAGTAATTTTTTACTATTTCAAATTAACTCTTTTCTTATTGGTGCATATCTTACAGGTTTTGAGTGCACCAGTGTAAAAATGATATTTCTAACTATTTTATCAATGTTTTACTCAAAACTATTTTAGAATTGACTTTGTGTCATTTTGAAAGAGTTATTTAGTATATTTCCCATATAAAAATGTAAAAAATTGTTCAAACTTGTATTTCTGCATAGCTCCAAGGAGTCTTTTCTGAAAAACATTTTCTGCCCATCCCAAAGCATAGGTTTTTATTTGCTAAGAAATTATCATTCATTGAGAATACAATTAATCAGGTCTCATCTCTCTAGTGACCTTCCTTCTCTAAAGATTTATTATTATAGGACAATGTCCACATCAATTTTGTGAGGTCATAAAGGGTGGGAACAACTACTAATGAAGAACAGCTATCCGTTGGGCAGATCAGGTATTTATGCCAGAGTTGAGTGAATAAAGTGGAGCAAGGAGTATTTAATGGTTTCATGAGAAAGTGATTAGATGGAGCTCCTGCACTAAAAACAACAATCTAGCGAGAGTTTAGAAGATCTGGGAATTTTTTATAGTTTCTTTAGACATTCCTGAAAAGTTGTTCATGTGAAATTATATTTGCCATTTTCTTCTATTAAAAACTTAAAGTGAATCAAATCCATATTTATTGTATGTTGTTAAGTTTATCATATTCAAACAAAGTATATTTATTAGATATAAACTGATTTTGAAAAATAACATTTTTGGCAAAAATATTGTTCTCTAGTTTATTCTGCCATTATTTTGAAAGATCAAGTCTTAAGTCTGTTTTCAGAATTTCTAGCCACAAATGGTAACTATTGCAACTTGCAAGATAAAGCTTCAAAAGAAATATGTTAATGAAAATCAATCTACTGACTGGATATATAACATAGAACTTGTTAATAAAAAGGTTGAAATTCTAAAATAAAATATGAATTTTAAAAGTCCAAGCTCTATAGTAGTCAGTAACTTTGTGTTAAATTTCATGCCTTTTGGTTAAGTATTTCCGTTATAAGTTGGAAAAAATCAAGGGATATTAGTGAACCAATCCAGTCCACAAACAATTAAAACATTTTTTTTTACTGGAATTAAGAATATCCCAGGCTCTTAAAATGTATGTTTCAAATAACAAGAAACCCAACCTGTGGAGCAGACAGGTCACTTGATGACTTTCTCTTCATTTTGTTAATGCTATTGTCATAGCGATCATGTAACTCCTGTAAAGCAAAATTAACATGGTTGTGCCTTAAATATTAAACACAATAAATGGTATTTTTTTATCAGTTAGTCTTAGAAACATGGTAGTGCTTCAATATTAAACAAAATAAATGGGATTTTTATCAGTTAGTCTTAGAAACATGGTAGTGATTCAATATTAAACAAAACAAATGGGATTTCTATCAGTTAGTCTTACAAACATGGTAGTGCTTCAATATTAAACAAAACAAATGGGATTTCTATCAGTTAGTCTTACAAACATGGTAGTGATTCAATATTAAACAAAATAAATGGGATTTTTATCGATTAGTCTTAGAAACATGGTAGTGCTTCAATATTAAACAAAATAAATGAGATTTTTATCAGTTAGTATTTAATATTGAATCACTACCATGTTTCTAAGACTAACTGATAAAAATCCCATTTGTTTAATATTGAAGCACTACCATGTTTCTAAGACTAACTGATAAAAATCTCATTTATTTTGTTTAATATTGAAGCACTACCATGTTTCTAAGACTAATCGATAAAAATCCCATTTATTTTGTTTAATATTGAAGCACTACCATGTTTCTAACAAAATAAATGGGATTTCTATCAGTTAGTCTTACAAACATGGTAGTGCTTCAATATTAAACAAAACAAATGGGATTTTTATCAGTTAGTCTTAGAAACATGGTAGTGCTTCAATATTAAACAAAATGGGATTTTTTATGAATCAGTTAGTCTTAGAAACATGGTAGTGATTCAATATTAAACAAAATAAATGGGATTTTTATCGGTTAGTCTTAGAAACATGGTAGTGCTTCAATATTAAAAAAATGGGATTTTTTATGAATCAGTCTTACAACATTTGTTTTAATGATTTATAGTAAATTTAGTAATTATTTATAGTTAATATTTTCAACACACAAACTCTACATAAATGTTGATAAACTTTTTAACTCTGAGTTGTTTTTCAGTAGTCCATGTGTAATAATAGTAAGATGTTACAAACCTTTTAACTAAACACTTCCAGAAGTGTTAAATGATAATATTAGAATCCTAAATTTTGGCACTAAACACTAGAAATCAGTGTTTATTATACAAATATTCCATCTTTACTTTATAATTAAACACAAACATTCAATTATTGTTCATGATATACATCTTTCATCTTTATCATCAGAAAAAATGTACATTTATTGTTTCTACGTATCAATCCTTACTTTGTATGCACTTAGAAGATCCAAGAACAAATTCAGCTTTTCAACAACATCCTCATCTTCCTGCTTCGACTTTCAAATAAAGAGAAATGTTTTTAGTAGGTACCTTGCTTTGCTCATAATTACTCATAGTACAAAAGAGCATTAAAGAGACTCCACGTACACATTCAAGTAGAACTGTACTTACAATTGATATCTGTTACTTAGAGAAATATAAAGAAGCTTAGAACGTTATAGTACAGTTTTAGTAGTCACAAGTGCAAAAATATACAATACATGATGTTATTTTAACTTTATTTTCAACTTTTGTTTTTTCTAACAGTCTTGAACTAACTGTTAAAGTTACTTTTAGATGGTTCCAAATACTTCTTAAAGAGTTTGTTTGTGTGTAGATATACATCCAAACTGGAGTGTTTATATTCTGTAGTAATGATAGAAAGATAAGTGCTTAAGCATTACAGCCCCTTCTTCCACCATCAACATGATAATCCTTGTTATCAACTGATGTATTGCAGGAAGCTTCTTTGAAATACACTGAGATTAATATTATTCTCCCCCCCCCTCTAGGCTCTAGATTCTTTTCAAATTACATCACCCTTTCTGGAACAATGACTACTGAGGGCTTGTTTGAGAAACTCGGAGACACAGAAATCCATGTATCTAAATGGTATAGCATAAATTATTATTTGTACTAGCATACTGATTTGGACTTGTGGCTGAATACATCCAACTTATACAAAGGTGGTATTTCCTCACATTACAGTGATGTCTATATTTTAGCATGATAGTATGCAAAATTCACTTTGGCATTATTGCACGCTAACTTTCCATTATATCTTCAGTCTGCATCTACCACTTTTGAAATGTTATATCAGTGGCAAAATGGTAAATTTCCCCTATTTTTCAAACAATTAAATGCATATTTTATCAAATGTGATGACATGCATAGCTGCAAGAGACCACTGTGTTCTTTTGTTACTTTCTGTGTTGTGTTCAATGTGAGTAAGTGGTAGTGGTTGTGGGGCACCCTGTTTGATGGAAACACACCTTCCCTTATTTATCATCACAGTTTAAGACTACATGTGTTCCTTTGTTCTAAATGTCAAACATGTTCTTTCTTGGATGTTTTTAATAACATAATATTCTGTAACGTAACCCTCCTATTAATTTCACATCAGAACATTCGGTAACGTAACCCTCCTATTAATTTCACATCAGAACATTCGGTAACGTAACCCTCCTATTAATTCCACATCAGAACATTTGGTAATGTAACCCTCCTATTAATTTCACATCAGAACATTCGGTAATGTAACCCCCGTTAACTTCACATCAGAACATTCTGTAATCTAAACCCCTATTAACTTCACATCAGAATATATATATACATAATGACTACAAGCAGTATAAAATAAAGGACGTCTTAAAAATTTATCTTTAAGCAAGGGTATCACTTGTTAATTTTAAACATTGTATGATGAAAGAATGTCACAGATCACTTCTGATCATTTATTCATGTAGGAGCAACAGAATATTTATTCAAAATGTCATAGGTCTCTTTAGTAACTTGTCTTTAACCACATGTTAAGTAATGCATACAAATTGTGGACATGTTCACAGAACTGTCATACTACTAACTAGGAAGCTAGAACTTAAAGTGATTCGATCTGATTTATACACAGTAAAAACTCACATGTTCAGCTAGTGCATTAGAAATAGGAGGAAACATAGGATGAAGGGATTTAAAACCTTTCTTCAAATGATTCCATGTTTCATTTCCACCTGAACTCCACTCTGAGTCAGTATTGGCCATGTCGGCAAGCCAGCTGAAACACAGTTTTGATATTAGCAGCTAGTACTATAATGTAAACAATGTTGTTAAAGTAATGAATTGTTTAAAAACTACTTCCAAGAGTATCTTCTTTCAAGATGTGAAACACAACACAACCGTAAGCTGTAAAAGTATCAAGGAAACTTTTAAAGTTAACACAATTGAAATCTTTGAGTCATTTTATTTAGAGAACATTAAAATGTGTGTAGAATAGTGTTAAACCACAAAACGTTTTATCTGTCATTTTGAATCTGTGACAAATATTCTTAAAAAATGTAACAGATTTTTCATGTAATCTCGATTAACTCATCTAAAATTAATGGTTTCAGTGATAGAACACAATAGTCAATATACAGTTTTGCTTTCTCTACTATTCTATTTCCCTTTCTTTCTTCTCATTTTCCTCCCCAATTTGGGCTATTTTTTTTTCCTTTCCATGATCCCAAATTCTTACAGAATGTTTAAAATATCAAAATTATTCCCAAATTATTTGGACACTTACTCAGAAGACTATTTACCCTGTCCTGACTTACATAGCATTCTATTATACACAGCATTCTACTATTCACACAACAACATTGTTTTAAGTGTCATTCTGATTTGTACATTATTTTAAGTGTTTGTCTAACATGTACACTGTTCTACTTTACAAACCCAAAACACTACTTACAATAAAAAGTTTCTACAAAGTGTACAAACCTCAACTCTCTTCCAAATGTCAGCATGTCCACAGCACCCTCTAGTGTTTGTTCTTTAATACTGTCTGCAGCATCTCTGAGCTTACTGACACTGGAGTGTACGTGTTTCATCAGGTCACGAGCTAGTCTGGATTGTGTAGGTGTGTCAAGGGGATCCAACTCCTGTAAGATACTCAAAGATGAAGTTAAAAGCTTTCACTTGACAAAATCAAAATACTGGCATAACTTTTTCATCCAAAAACATTATTATCTCACCACCAGCTAAAGTTAGAATTCCTAGTGATATTAACTTTAGTAATCACTTATTGATATAGTTTGTTTTTTTAATTTAAGAGTAAAACAAAATCTAAAATATGTTTATATGTAAACAGTCTAGTTTCGTGCATTAACTTTTAGTGAAAACATTCCAAGGCATAATATACTGATTTCTGACAAGTTAATAATTCATGCAAGATAATAACCAGCTTAACTAGCTTAAAGTGAATATTATTACTGTACATTGATACATAACACAACAACACCCACTTTATGCTATAACTGAACTTACCCTTTGTTCTAGTGTACATTGATACATAACACAACACCCACTTTATACTATAACCGAACTTACCCTTTGTTCTAGTGTACACACCCACTTTATACTATAACTGAACTTACCCTTTGTTCTAGTGTACATTGATACATAACACAACACCCACTTTATGCTATAACTGAACTTACCCTTTGTTCTAGTGTACATTGATACATAACAATACATCTGCTTTCAGCTACAATTACAGTCTTCAGTTCTAACAATTTAGTGATGAAATGAATGCTTTTTCTAAGCTGGCAAAGCGTGTTTATAATTAAATGTATTTTTCGTATGACACTAGTAGTTGGCTTATTATAGTTTTTAACACTACATTCATTATTCAGTCCCTTATGATTTTTCAGAAGAACAGTATTTCAATCACATCATATCTGCCACATCCAACATCTTCTTAAACCTTAAGGGACTGAATAATGAGTTTAGAGTTCAAAACATAAGCCTAATATTAATATCTTATGAAAAACACAATTGTTAATAACATTCTTTAGGACTACAAATTAATAAAATTAATGTTCCTATAATTCACAGTAGCACAATAAATATTCTTGACATTCTACCAGAATTCACAGTAATGTAATAAATAATCCCAACATTCTACCATACTTCACAGTAGTACAATAAATATTCCTGGTATTCTACAGAGGTTGAGTATGTTATAATAAATTAATTTTGGAACATTTTTGCATTGTATGTTATCGTTTTTGGTCATTCTGATGACCTTGCTTTTTTATAACAATCCTACAGCATAGTATCCATTGAAAAAAGATCTGTCATGAATAAAGTACACCACTCCTCCTTGTATGTTCTCCATAATCCATCTAGTGTATGAGGACAACAATTTTCCAATGCCCATTTCAACAGTCCAGATTCACAGAAATCCACAGGTGCTTCATTTGATGACTTGAGTACCTCTTTGTATGGAATAGCATGAATACCTATTTCATCCTCCAGCTACCCGAGGTCTTCAAAGGTTCAATGGATATGTCATGGAAGCAACTTATGTACACATTCTGTGGCACTCTTCTAGATAGATGTTTTTCTTGATTATGTTTTGCTACTGACCTTTGTATTCATGAATTCTCATCTGTTACAAAATGCAGCACTTTGTTTACCACAACTGAGTTACATCTGTTAACAGGTCTCTTTCTGGATGGTCCTGATGCTCCAAGTTGATCCATATTCCTTTTTTTCCAATGCCATTAAGAACAAGGAATATCCCCATCTTTAAAATTCTAAATCCCTGATCTGAACATATTTTTTATGACCTGAGTGTATCAATACATTGTCAGAATGAGCTGTTACATACTCTTCCGAAAAAGAGAGAGCAATTTTTTGTGGCATTACACTATCTAAGAAATGCCACACAATGTCAAAATGTATTTCTGATACATGACAGTACACTGCAACTTTATATCATCTGTGGTTGTCACATGACTTGCTGATTTGCATATTCAAAATAATTTTAATATAATATATGGTTTCACTGTGAGTAACCTTACATGTAGCATTAATAATATTCTTTTTGTAATAAAAGAGCTGAAAAAAAGATAACATAAATTACCACATAAAAAACAAAAGAATCTTACTTCAACTGTTTGAGCTAGCCTATTAGTAGAAAACTCATCAGGTGCAGAACGAAATTGTTCCTTAAGATTATGTTGGACATCCTGAAAAGTATTAGTCACATTATTTAGAATCAGCAACATATAATCTAACATTTTTTTCCTAAGCAAATAAGATTATTGATCAATTTCATATTACTACAGTAATTATCTTCATATTAAATATTTCCATGTTAGTCAACTAATGATACTAGTTTTCTATAAGTTTAACTTAACATTAAGCTTTATGAACCTTCATTTTCTTAACTTGATGATGGTTAACCAAATGCAATGTTTAGTTAGACTTTCTTAGTCATTACTAACCTTCACTCATTTCTCATGTCCCTTTAAGAGAATATTGGTCTTATCTTACAACAGTCATTATTTCACTTTATTATCACTCACTATCCCCAGGATTATCTTATATCAGTTGTTACCATACTTTTCATTCCTTCAGTTCTCTCATACAACAATAGAATATAAAACTTGAGAATTCACTTACCCTACCTAAGAATGTAAGAAAGAAATGAATAAGTGGGTCCTCAGAAATATTTGGATGTCTAACTACTAGTGTCAAGAACCTCTTCAGAGCTTTTCGTCGTTCTTCAATAAAGTGAGCATCAGCTGCTTGTTTAGAGTTAGTATGAACATAATATAGATATTTAATTGATGCAACGTTTGATGTTACCAAATGCATATTTTAGTTGTTTAATAAATACACTTTAAATCTATAAGACAAATTATCTTGTTACAGTCTCAACTTTTTTTTAAAACTAAATACATATATTTACTGAGATTTAGAATATTTGAAAATGAAATTATTTCGAGATAGATGCAATTTGCTAAAAACTTTTGTCTTGAATGACTTTAAAACAATTATACATTTCTGCATTGTAAAACATGGACAGTGACTCGTGCCTTGTGTGTTGTCCAACATCGTGACACAGATATTATAAACATAAGTCACAGTGTTGGAAAACATGAACAGTGACTCGTGCCTTGTGTGTTGTCCAACATCGTGACACAGATATTATAGACATGAGTCACAGTGTTGGAAAACATGAACAGTGACTCGTGCCTTGTGTGTTGTCCAACATGGTGACACAGATATTATAGACATGAGTCACAGTGTTGTAAAACATGGACAGTGACTCGTGCCTTGTGTGTTGTCCAACATGGTGACACAGATATTATAAACATGAGTCACAGTGTTGTAAAACATGGAC